TTATAGCATCAGATTTTAGTCCTCTGACAGCTTCGTATTTCCACCAACATTAAGGAATTCCTGGTGGCCAAAAGTCTGCTTATTCATCTCAAAACCGGTTGCTGCACAATAAGACAAAAGAGGCTTTTGTGGACACAGTTAAAGCAGGAAGGACTATGACAAGATGCTCCAGAAAGTGTTGGAGACAAATCTAATTGGCTTCAAGGCTGGTAGAAAAGAAGGGTGTCATGCAGTTCTTAAACAGCCTGTAGCTTATGCTAGTAAGGGGAGTGAGAGTAAAAGGGAATTACAAGAATAAGTGATAATCAGTTTTATAGAGCAAATCTTCGTGTTAGGCAGGAGTTCACTTGATTGAAGCTCAAACAGTAAGAAATTTAAAGGAGATCCTTATGGTGAAGAATTCTGCTTTTTTTTTTTGGGAAGTCAGGTCAAGAAACAAAGAGGAAATGAGAAATTTATCAAATTGTTAAGCTACCCAACGTTACACTGTTAGTTAATTGCAGTACGTTATACCAACACAGAGATATACAGCAGACTTGCATGTGACTTCAGTGTGATAAGGCGCTCTTGTTTCAGATCTGTTACAGGAAAAGGAATTGTGAAATGTAGGAATTCATTGTTTTATTCCAATATCTTAATGAAGCATGTACTGGTGGTTACTGATCTTTTCAGCCGTCCGTTTGGACCCCGCTGCATTTCTGTCTTAAACCAGTGCTTGTTCTAGGTGGAATCTTTTTTTGTGTGTCTCCTCTCTGATTTCCTTTCTTCATCCAGCTCCTCCTATTGCTTGATTTCCAGTTAATTTATCTTTCCCTTGCATTTGGGTGCCAGCAGGAGTAACGCAATGCAACTAAATGAAATTCTCTTTGCTCTCAGTTTCTTCTCGTAGCACCACAATGAAATGTAAGCATTCTGAAAGAGGAAGAGAGAAATAGGAATTCAAGCTGTTGCAGCTCTAGAATGGATTACACCTCATGACAGAGAAAACATTTGAAGAATTTAGATGCCTGATTCAGACAAGTCCTGTACTGAGATTGTGTGAAGTTTATGTCTTCAAAAGCTGAGGCATAATCAGTTTTGGATAGCTAGTAGAGTATTCCTTGGCACTATTATGATATGGTCTCAAATCCCTCCTTGACTGTCCTTGTTCCAAAGCATACTGAGGATACAGGCTTCTTACAAATTGTTGTAGAGATTAATAAACAGACAACAAACATTTGCTTCAGCTGCATTTGAGAACTGATTGAAGTGATTTGCTGAAATAAAAGTAACCAGCCAAAGAAACAGGCATCCAACAAGAAGAATTTTAGCTTAAATGTTCGATATGCCGAAAGTTAGGAACAGCTGTACACAGGATCTTATATGAAAAGTAGTGGCCGATGTTTGCATATAGGTTTCTCTACCTGTGCCGCCTGTAATGTACTGGCAGCAAAGTTCGAAGACGGTCAACAGTAATAATGAGTCTGGAGAAACGTTGATGAAGTTACAGAAATGTTCCGACAGAAAACTTTCATGTTTTAAAGTAGAAATGAAGATACATTTCAGTTAAAGAACTTAAATATTTTTGTCAGTATCTCAGAAATTACTTTTTTTCCATATTGTTATTACAGTAATTACCAAACATGCCAGGTTTCATTGTAGAAAATGTATTGATGACGCAATCGCTTCCCTAGCGTAGGTTTGGTTCTCCCTCCTCTTTCCTACTGTTTCTACGTGTATATAGACACATTCTGAACATCAGTTTCTTCATGTGCGCTTATCTACGTACTATCTACCTACTATCTACTCCAAATCATACACTATGGAACTGGGTCTCCCACTCGTCATATTAATTTAATTACAAGATTTTAATGAGTTATCATAGACTCTTTGGGCAAATTTTACAATAACATTGGATCAATTTGTGTTTACTGTAGTCTCTTTTCTCTTCTTGCTGCCATGCTCTTCTACCTTCCTAAATGGCTGCAGAATTAAGTCAAAAACAGCTCTATCTTCTATGATAAATTAAATTATTCTCTAGAGTAAGTAGATGTAATTACAGCAAAAATTGCTCCCAGGACTTTTGTGCACTGTAGAAAAACAAAGCCTTTGTTTAAATACTGCTTGTTTCAGTTCAACTTGAGCATAATCTAGCTTTTTCTCCTTGATTTCTTGGCACTAATTTCTTGAATACCCATTTGATTGTTGTTTATTGTTGAAGAGAGTTTTTAAAATGAGACATTGTGCTACACTGATGAGCATAAGCACATATTTTAATTTATGATTTGCAGTGAAATAAAATAAGTTTATTTTAGTGGTTTCCTCTTTTGCCATTTACCGTAAGTAGTGTTTATTCCAAAGTTCACAACGAGTAAAGCTACTCTGGTTTAGTCTGCCTTGAAATGAGTAGTGGATCATATATTAGTAAATTGACATGATTATATTTGTTAAAAATATGTATTAATTAAATCAAATTATCTAGAGACCGTAGTATAATCAAGCTTGCAAAGAAAACTGCATTAGTAGTTTAGTCTGCAGTGGAAAGAAAATCTATATAGTTTGTTTTTACTGAGCGATGTTAGCGTCCAGAATTTTAAGATTTCTGCCATTAGAACAATATCCTTTCTTTTTCTTCCTTCTTGTCCGTTTGTTGCTAATTTATAGCTTTTCCCATGCCCATGGGAACAGCGGACAATCTATTACGATTTTCTTTTCCTGTACTGGTTTTCCTTCCCATCATCGCTACCTTCCATCTTCTACAGTTCCTATCAGCTTTCTCTCCTTTTCTCCACTTTCTATTAATACAAATCTTAAACCTGCGTATGGATTTGTTCTGCCTCTTCCTCTTTACCTTTGGTGACAATCTTCCATTATCTGACTGTGCTCTGGCTCCAGCTTTTGTCATGATTTAATTTCTAGTCTTATCCTTCAGTGTGTAACTACCTAGTCTTATGTTTCCTCCTTTTCCCTTTTATCTTCAGGTAGTCTTATTCATAAGCACAGCATCACCTCTACGCTCATGATTCACAGATCTATGTCCCTGTTGCAATACTGTCGCCTCCTGTTCGACGGAAACTGTGTCCTCTATCTGTAGTACCTGTGTGAGTGACTAATGATGAACTCAAACTCAACATGGTTAATGTAGAGCTCTCAGACTCCTTTCTTCTGTGCCGAGTGCTCATTGCTACTTCTGTTCATAATCACTGCATACGCTACAGTGCATACTGGCAGTTTAGACTCACTTTGTCTTTACATCCAGCCTATGTCCAAATTCTGACAGTTTTTTCTGTGTTATATGTTT